GTGTTGTAACTGTCACATGTTACAGCCGTATGATTGGGGATACAGTCCCTTAGACGGGGATACAAGAGAAAATTATGCTTTAGTCAAGCGTAGCTTACACGCTGAACGGTTAACTCGGTAAAAGAATGTCAGTCGCGTAAGATTAGGGTTATTCCGCCATACATAAGCCATGTTGTGGACATAAAAATACAGCCTTAAGATTTTGTTTCATTTTCACATTGAGATGGTGTCGAGTGTTCCTGGTTACTTTGCTATTAAAAAACTATTTAAAATTTTAGGATTAATAAATGTATAAATTCATACATGTACACTGATTAAGGTCCACTTTTTACGTAGCATATTATTACTATACACTAGTATTTGCCTACCAATGACTGCCGATGTGATAACGAACGCCCCGCCCCCGCCACTCTAACCCCCACCCCCAGTTACACGTCGATCATATTCTTCAGATCCGTCAACTCGACCCACAGATGTGTTGTGTACCGCCGCCAGATGTCGCCCGGGTCCACATCGAAACCAAACAAACAGTCAATGTTGGGAGCACGCTACACACGCCGGCAACGATAAAAACACACGACCGGACCCCGCCAGATTGTCACACTGTTGACACGTGTAAATTTCCGGCATATTGACACAGTGAAAGGCCGAACGTTGACAATTTACAAACAGGATAAAAAAATTGCAAACGGGGACAACTAAGGCCTTAGAGTAAATTAAAACGACGGTAAAAAAAAAATTATACATTTTTAAGTGCGTTCAACGGGGCAGTTAATCTCGAAAGAATCACTCCAAATACCAAACAATTTGTTGCGGTTTTTATTATATCTGCGGCACAGCACAATCTGGCATATCGTAAAATTAACACGCAACACAGAAAAAACGAAAACACTTAAGATTATTTTTTAAACACGGTATCAATACTTTTTTTTTAGACCATCTTAAATGCACCCTGTCTTGATTAGGTAAGGCGCTCGTTGTGTCGACACGTGGATAAGGGCTATTTTTATCTACTGCCAAGGCTATCTATCAACTAATTTGTCAAGGCTGTCTGTTCGAAAAAATTTCCTCCACTATTTTGTAACTCTTCCCGAAGAAAGTTTATAGTTGACAACATTAGCGTGTCTGTTAAAGATTTACGACAGTCGGAGAGAAAAAAAAGGTTTAGAATCTAGTTGTCACGCAGAAAACTTGACTTTGTAGTCTGTCCTCCGCGTGAATCTTGATCTACATCTTCTCTCCAAATTACTACTGCATTAAAATAAAACGTGTCTACGCGTATGCATGGAAATCGTTCGATTAACCATGTTCAGATCAATACATATAACATTACATTAGGAGAGAATGGGCATGATCAGGATACATATTCCGATTGTCTGGCAGATCAGGATACATGTTCGGGAGAGAAGGGGCAGATCAGGATACATGTTCGGGAGAGAAGCGGCAGATAATATACATGTTTGGGAGAGATCAGGATACATGTCATGAAACCACTGTTGGATAACTGGTAGAATAAAATATTGCACTAGCATAAACATCATCATCTTGTGTCGTTCGTGAACGAGAAACATGAGGTAGATGAAGTAGAGTTCATCTGTATCACTGACCTCGGCCTACAAAGGAATTGTGGTCAGCAATATGACCAGCCGCCTTTAATTACCAAACTTAATCCAAGTACCCATCAGGGTGGACTCGGTGACCTTCTTATAGACTCGAACCCGGGATCCGAACTGCGGACTTTCTGGTTAGCAGTTGAAAGCTCTACCATCATCGCACTATAGTCTGCATACGAAATTCATTTGATTGATCTATTGAAGCTCCTACAGCAGACCCTGCAAGCCATACAAATATCGAGCCACTATGCCTACCTTTTCAAAAGGTAACAGTGGCCATTGGTGATCTGATTAAAACTTGCCAATAATATTTAAACAGGCAGATAGGTGGAAGCAGTAACTGGACGAAAAACATTAAAGTCAGATAGACCTACACCGAGGCCCTACACATAATTTTCAAATATTGCATTAATAGTCTCCTTCTCTGAACAAGTCGTGTAGTTTAAGCCCAAATCTTAAGGACCGTATTCAAGTATTGGTCTTGAAGCATAATAGCAATATACTATACTTCCCTTAGATACAGGCTAGATACATTTAAATTGTCATTTCAGTGGCATTAATCCCAACACACGTACATTTTGTTTTATTTGTAAACCCTGTTTCCTTACCAACTGCCGATTAGGGTTGGCTATACCTGCTACCAACCCAGTCAAAACATACAGAAGAGCAACACACATCTACAACACAGATTTAATGGTATAGGAAAGAGAAAAAACAACACATTTCCACTGTAGCCTTAGGACGAAACTCCCCAAATGACCGGTGGATCAGTATGCGATGAGAGATGAGATAATCAACAGGGGGGATAACGTGTAGCAAGCTAGAGCTGCGTGATCATGTCTAGGGATTTCACTATCGCCAAATTTTAAACATTTTTTTTACCACTGCGAAACTATGATACTATGGGTGACTGTAGAATCAGATGCAACAAGTAGAGGAGTAGGGTTTGGTGCCCATTTTGTAAAACTGTAGAGTGGGTTGAGATGGTTGTTTAGCATCATGCTATAATATTGTGTTATCCTTAACGTCTATAATTTATTTGGATAGTAGGTGTGTCTAAAGGTGTGTACATGCGCCAGATCGTTTACTGATTGCAAGAAATTAACATGCATTTGAGCTAGGCATGTGCACCCATTGTACTATCTAGCACACCATGCCTTATGTTCTTTACATGTTAGAATAAGTAATGAGTGTTGCAGCTTTGCAACGTGATGCACTTATGGGTTAAAATGGGTAGGAGTACTATATAACACCGCCTTTAATTTTCACCTTTTTTATCATTATTATTTTGTGTGTGTGCGTGTGCAGCATTTCTAAATTAACTGAACTGGCAGAAGAATAAGCTGGCACAGCTGGCAAATACTAACAATACCAGACTCTACTGGTGATTCTAACAAATATTTAACAAACGTTGTTCTCTTAAACAGAGTTTCATTCGGACATCTCTCCGCCCACTCTCCAGCTTACGAGCACATCCACCCCAGTAGATAATGTAAAAAAACAAAAAAAAAAAACAAACATAAAATATACTTTAACCAGTGTCCTCCCCGGTAATTTTAAGAGCACCCATCCTCCGGTAACAAATATTTTAGTTTAAAAGAAACCTTGCTCTTAAACGAGAAGATTACCAACACGAATTGAAAAAAATAAATAAGTGAATAAATGTATTGGGCTAGGCTGTGCGTGTACATCGGTTGTGATGTGGATGAGTGGTTTTCTCAGAAAGGGTGCATATAAGAGGAGTGATGGTTAATTAAACTATAACACTCTTATTGACTCTTAACAAACGAATTATTATGGAGTATGGTTGGGACACCCCCTGTCCTGTCTTTGTTGGACGTCATCAGCGGATATGATCAGTGTTTCTTCCAGACCTTTTTCCGTGGGGGGGGGGGGGGGGGGAGGGCACTTGAAATCTTCGGGTGTGGAGGGGGTGGACTACAATTTCGGGGGCAGGGGCGTACACTGTTAAAAGTATATATTTTCTACATAAATTCCATTTCGCTCGGGGGGAGAAGAGATGCCTGGAAGAAACTCTTGATAAGACACCCACCCCGCCAAAAAAAAGCCAATATGTCTTGCTTAGACATGCGATAATAGATTGGTAAATTAATGGAAGTTTGGGTTGTCAGAAGATATCTAGAAAATCTACCCCTCTACTTTGTTGGCTAAGTTTTCTCGGTATTATGCTAACCGATCGTTCATAAACCGAGCATAGCTTTCATGATGTTCTAATTTGATTTAATTGACATTTTTTTTTCAAAACCCGAACAGGCTTATATATATATATATATATATATATATATATATATATATATATATATATATATATGGGGGGGGGGCTAAAAATTTTTTTGCGGGGTGGCCCTTTTTTCTAATTCCGCCACTGATTCATAAATCATGTTTTGATACCTTCGATTGTAGAGACTAATTTAAAATAAATTTTAGTTTTAGAACTAAGATACAAACTAATTATACTAAATACACTTTGAGTGTATCATATTTCGTAGAAAAATGTTTCATTATGCTAGACTACAATGTACATGTGGTCATTTTTTTTTTAAATTAGCTTTGCGCACATTTTTGTGTGCAGATTTCCGTTACGCAGTTTTCCGACCATCGATTTAATTAAAAGAGCCGCATCTAATAACTTTTATAAATAGCTCTGGAGTCGCAGACCGACGACAGCATGCTCAGCTGAAGATCTAGCAGTTTAGATCTAGATTTTCTAGATCTATTTAGAAAACAGCATTGTTTTAAAACACAAGTCATCTTAATTCTTAATGAATTCAACATATTTATTTATATTAAGCATAAGGTACTTAGATTAGATAAAGCCTTATCAATTAGATCTAGTAATTAGATCTAACATTTTATTAAGCGTATACTTAAATTTAAATAGGCTTTTGTTGCTCTTTTTTTTTTTTTGTTGTTAAAAAGCGAACTAGACTGTCTAAATGATTCGATACATTGTCAGTCTGTGGTGTTTTGTCGTCGGGCCTACACAAGAAGTTTAAAAATTTAACGAAACATTTTGTTAGTTGAATTATCTATTATAATAATTAAAATTAGTCTAATGCGATGCAACTAGAAAAGTTTTCCTTCTTGGCTTCCTTCAAAGCAGTCATCGTCTATCTATCCTGTAAAATTATGTAGACTAAATAGGCTATACATTATTAATTATTGCTATCTAGATCTACTTATATTTAAAAATACAGCAAAAATCTGATTGCCTAATAAGGTTTTTTAAAAACACAAATAAAATAAGAAAGGTTGTTTTAATCGATAGCATGGGATCTACCTAGAAAATTAACAAATGCAAATTTTACTAACATTACTTGCACGTGACCCTTGTTTGCCCAATCAAATCCTAACACGCTTTTCAGTCCGTAAATATTATACCGGAACCTGTACCGGTGCCACGTTGAAAGTAAAAACTAAGGATTTCCTCTTCACATCTTTAGAGATCGTTGCTGTGTACGTTACACTGGTTACAATAGCCGACATAAGAAAAAACATGTTTCGCTTTGTTTTAGCTACTTTAGCTGTTATTGCCTCAATAGCGTTAGGCAGTGTGGATGAAGAAGAAGGAGTGCTTGTGCTTACTAAATCAAACTTCGAAGGCGTTATTACAGAAAATGAATTTGTTTTAGTGGAATTTTGTAAGTAAAAAAAAAGTTGTCTTTTTGATATTCTGGCTATTCTTTACATGACTTATGTCTGGCTTTCTTAGAAATGATAATTATTCTTTAAAACAACGTAGTCCTACACGCAGTTACTAGCATAACGCATTAATTAAATTGTTAACGATCTAGAATCTAGATTCTAGATCTACAATTTATTAGTGGTAATCAGTCACTTTACAAAATATTGAAAATAAAGAGGGGGGGGGGGAGGTGTAAAGTTTAAAATATTTTTGTTTTACCTATTTTAGTATTTAGATCTACTAAAGTAAAACAATTGTAGTCCCTGTTTTACAGCTTATGTAGTATAGGCTTTTTAGGCCCCTATCTTCTATAGTTAGTGTAATAAGTTTAGAAGTAGGCATTGTATTGTATGTCATTAGGGCCTTTTTGATTATGCCTACTTTTATTATATTCTTTCAAAAAGAAGCAGAGACAATAATTTTGAATTTAATCTGATTGCAGGAATTTGTTATAGAAATTTAATGTATTGTCATTAGGCTTATTCTTTTAGTACAATAGCATTTAATTTTAAATGTATGTCTATTTGTTTTCATCTTTGGCCGCTTCAACATAAATTAACTATATTAAGCCTAATAACAAATACTGCCTAATCACTAACGACTTTTAGACTTACCTAGTTTTACTGGACATTATACAAACTATATATATTTGTTGGATCAAGAATTTTGAAGGTATAGCCTGTTGATCTAGCAGCTAGCATTAGCAGAATTTACCAACCATACCCTAAACTAAAGACTTGTAAAAATCTTTCAGATGCACCTTGGTGCGGACATTGCAAGGCACTAGCCCCTGAATACAGTAAAGCTGCTCTAAAATTAAAGGAAGATGGCTCAAAAATTAAACTTGGTAAGGTAGATGCAACAGTTGAATCAGATCTTGCTGAAAAATACCAAGTCAGAGGATACCCCACACTCAAGTTTTTCAGAAATGGCAATGCTATTGAGTATTCAGGTAATCATCTTCTTAAAATATTTAGGAATGTTATGTTTACCTTCCTTTCATTCAGTAGTTGTTTAAAAAAAATACAATTTGAAATTGCTTTAATTTAAGTGCAATAACTTTCAGGTGGCCGTCAGTCAAGCGATATTGTAAACTGGTTGAACAAAAAAACTGGACCTCCAGCAACTGATCTCACTGATAAAGATTCTGCCAGCTCATTCAGAGAAAAACAAGATGTTGTTGTCATTGGATTCTTCAAGGCATGTTTTCATTATTCACTGTCAGTTTTTTATTTTGATGCTAATGCTCATATAACAGCTTGTCTTTTAATAAAAATATGAATTTGTTTTCATAGGATCAGGAATCAGATGAAGCCAAGGAATTCCTTAAAGTTGCAAGTGCATTAGATGACATTCCTTTTGGTATTACATCAGACAGCGAAGTATTTGCTGATAACAAAGTTGAAAAAGATGGAGTTGTTCTGTTTAAGAAGGTAAATATTAGCAATTCAATGGCACCAGAGCATGTGCTATTTAAATATGGTTTTTTTTCCAACCTTTTATAGTTTTCTTTAATTTAGTGGGCTTTAAAAAAAAAGAATGTATCTTTTGTACATCACTGCTTTCTGGTGAATTGTATATTCTCCATCAATGGTTAGAAATTTCCCAAATTGGTACATGGTTTAGCAAAAGTTAAATATCTCAGTCATTGCATTCAAATTATGATGAAAAGGTAACTGACTGCATCAGGATGCATAAGTGTGACACAAGTGTATGTGTCATTGAAAGCAGATCAGTTTAATTACTCTTTATTTACTTGTTTATTTAAGATTGTCTTTTTTAAAATTAACAAATTAAAAGAACTTCACTAGCTAAACATTAACTTAAAATGGTTTGTGTATTTTAACATGTATTCTACTTTTAAAAATATTCTAACATATTTTTGTCTTTTTAATTTTTATTTTCAAGCAATGAAAATTAATTTATCCTTCAGTTTGATGAGGGCCGCAATGACTTTGATGGTGAACTCAAAGAAGATGCTATTCGTGCCTTCATTACTAAAAACAGATTGCCCCTTGTTATTGAATTTACACAAGAGGTGAGTATACTAAATATTAATTACTGATTGGTTTTTGTTGTATTTTATTATGAAAGCTGATCTTTTAAAGCCCAATTTTTTTTTGTTTCCTTAGTCTGCCCAAAAGATATTTGGAGGTGAAGTGAAAAATCACATCCTCTTGTTCTTGAAGAAAGAAGGTAATGATGATGTCATTCAGGGCTTTGGAGAGGCTGCCAAGGAATTCAAAGGAAAGGTTATACATTTTTATAAGTTCTGTGGTATATAAAAAAAAGATATTGTGAAATGGTAGGCAATAATGCAACATTTTAATAAAATGTATTCAAATTTCCTATAATTATTTTTAGATCCTGTTCATTTACCTGGACACTGCCAATGAAGACAATAGCCGTATCATGGAATTTTTCGGTTTGAAAGAAGCTGAGGTACCAGCTGTCCGCCTGATCACTCTGGCTGAAGACATGACCAAATACAGACCAACAGCTGAGGGTGTTGATGCAGCCACCATTAAACAATTTGCCCAAGATTTCTTGGATGGCAAACTGAAAGTTAGCATTTTTTAATATTTATTTTTATATTTTTTGAAAGATGTTGTGGACGAATGTGTAGACTAATCTCTAAATTATTTCGTTGATGTGAAATAATGAACCTTCTGCATATTTCTTCTGTTTTGTGTATATTTAAACAAAGTATGTATCATTTTAGCCACATTTGATGTCTGAAGAAATCCCAGAAGACTGGGATGCCAAGCCAGTCAAGGTTCTAGTAGGAAAAAATTTCAAAGAGGTTGCTCTTAACAAGGATAAGGCAGTCTTTGTTGAGTTCTGTAAGTTAACTTTTTTTTTCTAACAAAAATAGTATGTCTGCATTTTTAATACCACATTACAGTCTGTTTAACAAACCCATCAAGTTAGGATACTTTTTGTATCGAACAATTATTTGAACTAAGTACATAAGTATTATCGTCTTAATTCTGTGTGTATACCATGTGAACGTGATAATTAATGTCTTCAGATGCTCCATGGTGTGGACATTGTAAACAGCTGGCACCAATCTGGGATGAGCTTGGAGAAGCTTACAAAGATAATGACAAAATTGTAATTGCCAAGATGGATTCAACAGCTAATGAAGTAGAAGAGGTCAAAGTTCAGAGTTTCCCTACATTGAAATATTTCCCAGCTGGAAGTGACAAGGTAATCTATTTGATTATTTATCATAATCTTCTAGGTGTTTAAAATGTGCATGTACTGGTTTTGTTTATATGCCAGTGCTGAGATTTTCTGTTGATTTGCAGATTGTTGATTACAATGGTGAAAGAACTCTAGCAGGATTCAAAAAGTTTTTGGACAGTGATGGTCAAGATGGTGCTGCTGCTGCAGCAGAGGTAATATTTGCTTCTCTACTTCATTTTTAGCTTAATTGTAATGTAAAAATTTAGGAATAGCGAGCAATGAAAGTTTGAATTAAGGTACATGTTTTGTTTCCTGTATCAGTGACAAATCTGTAGCTTTTCAACAACGTATTGTTCTTACAGTAGCCTAAAAATGCTGTGTTTTGTTAAAGTGAGAACTTTAATTATAACTCATGTTTGACACCAAATTCTATACTTGTATTTGCACTATAATTTTCATAACTCTTTGTTTTTATTTTTACTCTGAAAAAAAAAAGAAGTGAATTTTGCATTCATTATGTATTTGTATTAAATTTTTAGGAAGAGGAGGAAGATGAAGGTGAAGAAGAGGGAGAAGAAGATCCACAGAAAAGAGATGAATTATAAACAGTCATTCAATTTCTATTCCAGTTTTACTCTTAACCTAACCATCTGATGATATGCTCTTCTTTTATTTATTTTAGAAATTATAATTAATGGTATTCAAAAACATTGCTGGAATAGAAGATAAGATTTACAGGGGCGATTGGTAAAAATAATATTCTAGGCTCAGGAAATAATCAACAAAATATTTAGAACAGAAGAGGCATCTGGTTGTTAATAAATGTGTATGTTCAATGGTATAATATGTGCTGTGACTGAGGTGTGCTGCTTGCAAATGCTGAATTTTGTTAATGTTAAATTACCTTTTCTTCAGAAGCATGACAGGGTTGGCTGCTTTGTACAGATAGTGTTTGTTGGTACGGTATATTAAAAGTTTATAATTTGTTGGATATTAGACAAATTAATGTATTGATTATCATGAATGAAAGTTCTTTACCTTGCCACAGTTTGTTGGTGAGCATATTTGATTGATTCATGATTAAATGGATGTCTTCCTATTAGAATTTGTTTGTTTTCATCATTCATATTGGCCATTGTGAACATTGGTACTGAGCTATTTTCAGCATTCCGCCCATGTTTCAAGGGCCATTGACTAGGGTTTCAACAGCAGTACAAGAAAGATACACTGCCTATAATTTTGGTCCGAACTAGGTGCTAAAATCTTGTGTGTGAAGAATATTTATATTTTTCTTTACTGAGTGCTAAATTTTATATGTGCTTTATTTTTTGTCTTGTATAAAAATTACTTTACAACTAGTCTCGAAAATTTTTATAGAATCAAGCTTAGTTGTTAATGAATGGCATTTATTAGTGTCACTGGAGGTGTCTGTTCCATTGAGAGCCACAGCTGGTTGCCTTGTCCTTAACTCTGTTTTGGTACTGGCATCTCTTCACTTCATAACAATATTGATTTGACCCATCCATTTTGATATTGTGAAAGAATAAACTAATGTGTAAGCAATAAGTAAAGCATTTTTGTTTTTACTTTGCCTTCCAAGATGTCATTGGTTTTTACTGAAATGTTTATCAGTGACTTGGTTGTGTAAAAAATAAAATGGGAATATTGAATAACTGAACTGACTTAGGTCTCAGAATCTCCTTTGGATAAATTAGTTATTGTCAAATTTTTTACATGTAATTTTGTATGTTTTTCGGTAAAACTGCTATCAATATATTATTCCCCCAGTTCAGCTGAAATTGTGTAGCAGGTATAATAATAATTTGCTTGAAGAAATGAATGACTTTTAAAGTTTATCGATCAAAAAACAAAGACCAGAATTGTAAGACAGACTTTATTTTCAAATCTAAAACATCTTTTGAAAATTGGTATAGAGATTCATCAGGGCCGATACTTTCATTCAAACAAGGCTTGTAACTTGTAGTTGAATCCACAATTAATAATTTTAAAAAATTACATATCTAGGTGGGGGTAAAGTTTATTGCATTTCTCTTAAAAACTAAACAGTATTTAGAGCAGTTAAGATTTTCTAAAAGCATTAAATGTTATGAAGTTGGTACCGTTAATTTTTCAAACAAATTGAAAATTAAAGCACATGCTGTCCTAAAATTTAAGTCGCTAGAAACATGCATGATTTTAACCTAGATCTAGTTATTTAACTATGTATGTATACCTTTTTATTCAATTATAAAGAGAACAAAGCCAGACTACAGTTTAATATTAAATTATGGAAAGCAATACAAGCTGCATAGAAGTAATTTGTCATGCTGAGTCACACATCCATTTTTCTGCAACTTAAATATTTGGAGAATTAAAATAAAAGACAAAATAAAGACCTTTATTAAACTGAAGACAAAGATACTGGGCAAGGTTTAATACATAGACATTTAGTAAGATGTAATAGCAAACTAAACTTCTCAAGTTTACGGTTTCTTGATATTACATTTTGATGTGAACATATGATTTTTTGCTGTTTTTCATCCCTCACCAATGAAATTTTTCATGGCGCAACAGCTAGCAAAAAATTAAATTATCCCAGATAAAGGCCTACAAAATTATTTAAAACTTGCTGAAGCATTATATATAGAGATGTATAAACAGGACAACTGTTGGAGTTCAGCGTTTATTTTTAAATTTGGACCTAAATATTCTTTCTTTATCTAGCTTGCAAACTAAATATGTATGTTCTAAAAAAAAATGATAGCACAGTGTCATCTATGTTGATGACAAAAAGCTATACAGTTTGGAAATTAATTTAAAAAAAAAAAGAATTAGAATACTTAAATTCCTTATACCTGTTAAAATAAAAAAAAAATTTGAAATGATAATTGACTAATTAAGTATTATGTATGTAAAAATTGGAAGAAAAAAGAATATTCCAAACTGATACTACCAAATTCAACTTGTATAACAGCCTAGCACATCTGATAAATAAGGTATTGTGCACATACTATATAACATACTTTTTAACTCATCTACCCCATGTGATATTATAGAACATTTCCATAGACCACCAAACCTTACATGACACATGATAATTCCCCACTACTCATAATTTAATTTGGTACTATCAAAATTTCTGATTTTTAAGTAAATTCTGGGAATTGCATCCTCGTATGGCTGATTACAATATGTAAGCCAGTTGTGTCTATTTGTGTTAGATTTTAAAAAAAAGTTAAGGCAGTGTTTGATAACGTTTCTAAATACCTTTTCCCTTCCTCATAGAACAAAATAATAAAACATTCCTTCCTTGTTATATAGTATATGCACAATCTCTAACATGATATCTTAAACAATTTTTTTTAACAACTAGATGAACCTAGTGGATATATTAAATTGATAAGTTAAAGATCAAGAATATCATGTTTGGTAAAAACTTTACTTAGTACATGATATGATTCAAGACAAAATATACAGTCTTTAGTCAAACTAAGTACATGATAAAAGCAGGTTAGAGTTAGGATTCTCAACATTTAATGCATAATCTTTTAATCTAAAATCCTATCAAGGTGTACATACGAGCCAAGGAAAGGATATGAATTTTTGGAATCACAAAAACAAAGGAAATTAGGTGCATTTATTTAATACAATTCACCGGGATTTAAGATGAAAATGACATTCTGTACTTTTAAAAAAAGATGAAACAATTTTAAAAAGACGAATGAAAATGTGACAAATATATGCCATTTTCTATGTATGCCATTTTATTTTTGCTTCTATTAACAAGGTCTAATCTATTTGCATACAAATGAACACGACAGATAGATTTATTTACAAATATTTCCATTGAACATAAATACATAAATTGAATAAATACAGTAATTTATAATTCTATAATTAATAAAATTTCTCTAAGCATCTTCATTGCTATTGACAGTAAGAGCTGTGTTGCTTTTTTCAGTGTTAAAAACTTTTAGTTATAATGCATACAAATGTGTGACATTTTATAATTATCTTGGATAGCAACCTGTTACTATTTCAAACTAGTTTTATGAGTTGTAAATTATGTATACAAATACCAAAATGGTTTTCTAACTTTATATTCAAATAATAATAAAACAGATAAATGGCAGTTGGTTTAGAAAATTGAAATAAGAAAAAAATTGAACAAAGAAACAATGGTTTTAAAGAAGTTCGCCACCAACAATCACTGGGTTTGTCTGGTAAAAATATCTGATGAGCAAGTGCTGGAGCTGTTGGAAACAAAAACACCGGTGTTGTACATAACACATTCAAATATTCTCCCTTGTCAAGAGTATCTAATATTGTTAAAGTTTATATGTGAAAATTCAGGCTATAGGAAAAAAACATTTTTTTAAAATAACCACCTCAATATGAGGAACAATGGCACAATACATACTGGTCAATGTATTTACTTGATACCATTTAGATGAATGTACAAGTTATTTATTGTTTCGTTAAAAGCCAAAGTAATTTTTTGAATTGTTTAACTTCATGTCTAATCTCTATAACATGTTTACACTATGGATGTTTGTTTACACTAGGGATGTTTTTATGTAGTAGATGTTAAACATGACATTATTTTAGGTACTGAAACTAGAATGTGGTTGATGAGGTAGTATGAAGCTGTCAGAGCTGATGAGCAGAAAAAAGGATTGTTCACAGAAACATAAGAAAATATTTTTTTTTGAAGTCTGTTTATAAAATTAACATGTACTTTTGTATCTTATTCAAAGTGAAACTGAAATTAACAATATGACAATGAAATTAACAATCAAATATTAGTAATGTTACACATACTTTTACAAAAAAGTAAAGACAGTTTCTTAAGTAGGAACAATTTTGTTAGTATGGAATACAGACCATGGGTACTGGCTGTACTGAGGGTCATAGAAACAATAAAAATAAAAAGTATGTTTAAAATCTCAACAAACAAATTATCATAAGACATAATGTCCTGGTTAATTTAACAAAAAAAAGCTTCAAGGAGAATATAAAGAAATATCAATCAAGAAAATTAATTTCACAGCAATTCTGTGCTGTATCTAGTGGCTTCTGAACAAAAACTTTTCATTTTTAAATTGTTAAGATTTTAAAAATAGTTCTGTATTATTTTTAAATCAGAGCATACAAGTAATGGACATTAAATTTTGAATATGTTTTTTAAATCTACTTTTCTAATGTTTCTGTTTATTACATCAACAAAGTAACAGTGGGAATAAGCCATGATTAAATAGATGATAACAATGAAGCACGATTATGTTTTTATCATAAATTTAGTGAAAATAGTTTCCTTATAAAGTCTTTCAAAAAAAAATCACCGGATAATTTTTATAAACTTTATATAAACCAAGATATATGTATCTATGATAGAAAAAACATGTATGAATGAACTTCATAAATAAAACATGTGTGAATAAAAATTCTTTGAAGATAAATGATAGAAAAGAAAACAAGATAGCAATCAACAAGAATAGTTGGTTGTATGTATATATCACAGATGTTTTCACTGTTTTGTTTCGGTCTTTTCACAGGTATCATATACAGCCATTGATAAATCATGACTGGCTCTTCCATGCTTTTTATTTTCTTTGTCTTCAGCATATTGACTGAAGTCAGCTGTCTCAGTTTTTACACATTACAGACACATATAGTTATTCATGTTTACTTATTTTATATCTAATAAGCTCAAACAATTTTTTGTAATGAACAGCTGCTAATGAGAAGCAGCATGTACAAATCTTTTTTTTAAAGCTTCAAAGCAACTTAATAGATGCGAAATTGTCTGCTTAGAACACAGCAATGAAATGTGCATCTTCAAGAAAAAATAAGCCCAACTCACAAACCCCTTTTTTCAGTCTTTGTGGCTTCAGAAAAAAAAAGCTTAATAAAGTCTTCAATTATTCTAAATTTTAAAAAATCATTAACTAGAATGAGTTTACAAAGGGAATAGTGGATTTTCTTCTGTTAGTAAAAACTAACATTCTGTTGACTCTAAGGAAGTAGGTCAAAGGTTTCAGCATACAAATCATGAGGAAAGTTCATCTGGCCTTTTAATGACTCTAACATTCTTCTATGCTCAACACCCAGCTCACGCAGGCTTGATATAGACATGAGAAGTCGAGGGAACAATCCACCTTCATCTTCATGAGAGACACTGATTTCCGACTGGAGGGCTTGAATCAACAATTCTTGTAACTTGCTAACTTTTTCACGATTTTTCAGACCTGGTCGATCTGCAGATGAGATTTACAAAATATTAAAACATTTCTTTAGAATATGATTACTAAAGAAAGTAAAGTTGGACCACATAAAGAAAGTGATTGTTAAATCTCTAAGAGATAAATTACAAAATTAATTCAAACATTTCATAAATATGGAATCATTTTTTAAAAATAAATAAAAAATAAATGTGTAAATTGTTTTTAAAGATTTTTCTCTCAGTTGTTAATGTAAAATTAATTACTTTTAAAGATTGCCACCATGTTTTACAATGTTGTTAAGAAATTTTGTATTTAGGTTAAGAAAGATTATAATCTACCCCATCTTCTCCACGCAACATTATGATTATCTATACATTTTCCACCATGTTATTATATTAGTATTAGATTATATAAGGGGTGATGACTTAACAGGGTACTTGACTCAGGGGGTGGGTAATGTCCTGCTTCAGTCACTAATACAGGGCTTACCAATGAAGGTACAGTATCGTACAATCAGAAACCTGAGTGACTTAATGTCCACCAACTGTCTTGAATAAGATGACTTGTTGCTTTCAAACCCACTCAAAACGAGTAATGGAAGGTAAAGAGTGATGGACATTATCTGGTCCAAGAATTACATTTACTATTGTCATATAAACAGATAAATTGTATTTCACTGAACAGATGGTCAAGAAAAGTAGCAACAATTTTTATATTTTCAAATAAGATTCCTCTGTCAACAATGTCATTCATAACATGTGAATATTTCAGACCAGAAGAAATATTTTAAGATACATGGTCAATGGGTACAAACCTGGTGAAATAAGAACCAAAGCACTGAAGAGGGCTTTTTCTGAATCTCCAAGACTGAAGGCATTCAAACGATTGGACAAGTTAAACAGCAACTCAACAAAATGTTCTCCCAATGGAAAACCCAGTTTCATTTCATCTCTCATAACTATGGAACTGTTTCCAAGTAGAAATATGGAGTTGGTTTCTGCATCAATGAATGGAGCACATACCACGCAGGCAACCTGTAAAAATAAATATTTTTAATATCAGCTATTATTTAAGATTACTGCACATTTAAAAAAAAAACCCAATAGAAACAATCTTCCACTTTCTAAAAGCTATAACCCCCAAACTGCATTTAAAAAAATTAACATAAAATCAAACCTCAAAACATCCCCCTTTAATCAAACTGATTTGGTCATCTTGATCTAATTCAGCAAATCCAGGAATCTTTTTAGCAAAGCAAACAACATCTTCAATAGTTCTATTCAGTCTCATCTGAAAATGGTGCCAGCACATCTCACCAAGACTGGTATTCTGTATCAAGTTGGTAAAGCAGAATGTTGAAACATTTTCAACAACAAAAAAAAAAATTTTGTAAAATTATAACAAAAAAAGATGTCTGAGAGAAGGTTGGGAAGGAAACTTTACACAGATGTAATGGTGAAAAATAATGTTCATTTGATAATTACATAATTTTAATAATATAATATTATTTAATATATTTAATTTAGTATCTGCAATGAAGATAGTTCTTAATAGTTTATTGTCAAACTGGTAGTTGGGTGAAAGTTTATTTTCCTATAATTACATTGAGTTACATGCATTTTCTCAGGCAACAAAAGCGACATATTGTTTAACGTTTCAAACAGTTTTGTCTTACCTGGTGGCCAGATTTCAAGTGCTGTGATATAATCTTTCCTATGACATTATCCATGGTCATGTTGCTACTATATTCTATAAGCTTCTGACGCATCTCTACAAGCTTGCTCTTAAGGAAGGTGAAAGTGCTGTTGTAAGAGTCATTCAAGCGTGAAATCATGTATGGCACCGTCAACTTAATTTCTTCCTTCCCCATGGCTCGGCCCAGGAGTGTCTCAGTGCGAGCAAGCAGTTGCTGTGTAGTGAATTGGCTACGCTGAGCCTGTTGTATTTGATGTGGCTGTAGGTTGTGCGCCAGAAGCTGAGCTATGGGCCTTGAGTTGTTGTCGCTGTAAGCCCCACCATTTCCGCTATTAACTGATGCAGCATCCATGCGATGAAGAGCTTGCGCAAGCATTTGGCTATTAATCTCAATGGGCACATTACCATAAAATCCAGCCCTAGAGGTCGTACTGGAGGCAGCCGCCATTTTGCTCCCAGTTGCTGATTGTGTAGCAGGTGACACAATACTATTTACATTATTACTGTTGTGATTATTATTATTTGCATTACGCCGGCGCTTCGGTTTTGATTCAGAAGAGCCTCGTTTCCCACTGGATGATGCTTGACTTGTTACAGGTGGTGGTGATGCAGAGTCATCCAAAATTTCTTCAGAGCTTGTATTAGGGATGTAGGGTCGTTTCTTGATTGGACTTCTAATAAACTGCTCCACGGCCGAGACTTTTTTACGCAGGTCCAGACTGGCGTTGGATGTTATCACAGACGGGTAGCTACTGGCTGGCAAATCTTCAGCGGGATCTGATTCAGTGGTGACTAAATTCTGTGGGACCCCGGGGTGTTGGTAGACTTGGGAAGACAAAACTGACCCTCCTGATAGAGAACTGCTTGACGAGAGCTGGGTGGTGGCTCTGGCGAGGGCGGAGTGACCGATAGGCTCGACGTGTCCATCTTCTGTTTTAATAAATATCTGCTGTCCGGAGGATGTTGGGATGTTGAATAACTGATGTTGAGATCGGACCAGGTTGTTCATGTAGGTAGTGGCCGGCACAAACTCACTGCTGTGGGCATGTGTGTGGGCGGGTAAAATTGTGCGCGAGTTGTTAGGTTCTAGGTCGGGATTTTGGAGAGAGGGGCTGGGGCGGTGTTGTGTGGAGAAGTGGACCGGGGAAGCTGAAGAGCTCCTCTGAACTTTCAACATCAGAGGCTGGTCTTCACCCAAAACATTGTTCCTGGAGTCTACAGCTGCCTGCTGCATCAAAGTCAACAGTTTGGTTTTGAGTTCTGGGTCGGATACAGCAAGCTGGCCGTGGGCTCTTAGATCCATCTCTGACTTGGTCAAGGTGTCGGCCACCATGGGCTGGCCGATCAGTTGGCCAGATCTTTGCTTGAGTAGGACTGACAGCGCCGCCATTGAAAGCTGAGGGTTGGGCTCACAGTTCTCAGATGAGTCAATCTGTGACTCACCAGCATTCAGATTCTGTAAGAAAATTGACATACAATTATGGAAAGCAGAAACTGAGATTATAGCAAAGATTATTTTTTATTCACAATTTATGTGGCACCCTATACAAAATTCTGCTGAGTTGCCACTTAGGACAGTGTAAGACAACATGACACAACTTTAGACTTACAGCATTATGTCCATCAGGTGAGATAGAGCTAGAAGCAGCATTATTGTCCACATTCAAACTCAATAAACCATGAAGAGCCTGTTCTGTCTGTGTGTCTTCAATGTTCCTGATCATCTCACGCATCTTTCTTGACCTTCGACCCAATTTGGCAGCTGAAAATTTTAGTTTTAAATATTTTTTGTAATAAAAAACAAAACAAAAAAACATACAAAAATACTAAGTGGTAATAAAAACAGGTAGTATCACAAATTAAAGACAACTACAGGTAATTTGGATGTTTTGACCTAAGGTATTTGTCAATACACAAAATTCAAATTTAACAACAATCATAAAAAAAAACATCTTCTATAATTACCAGCTCTTGACATTCCTAGTTGCAAACACTTTTGAAGACGACAATACTGGCATCGGTTTCTTGTCTGCATATTAATGTCACAGTTTTTGGCATAAAAGCATTTCTTGCGTGCAGGATCCCCAACATTTTGAAGCGCCCTCCTGAAGAAGCCCTAGGAAAAAAAATGCAGTGGTTAAATATTTAACCAACCCAAAGACTGTTGTTGGTGAGTAGAGATGAGAAGTTTCTGTATGAAATTAAACTATTGGCTACATTATTAGTGATGGTAAACCTGAAGTTTTGTCTGTATGACGTTTAGTTATAGTCTACATTGTTAGTGATGGTAAACCTGAAGTTTTTTCTGTATGAAGTTTATTTATAGTCTACATTGTTAGTGATGGTAAATCTGAAGTTTTTTTTAATGAAGTTTAAGCTATAGCCTACCTTGTTGGTGATGGTAAACCTGAAGTTTTTTTTAATGAAGTTAAGCTATAGCCTACCTTGTTACTGATGTTAAGCTATAGCCTACCTTGTTAGTGATGGTAAACCTGAAGTTTTTTTTAATGAAGTTTAAGCTATAGCCTACCTTGTTAGTGATGGTAAACCTGAAGTTTTTTCTGTATGAAGTTAAGTTATAGCCTACCTTGTTAGTGATGGTAAACCTGAAGTTTTTTCTGTATGAAGTTAAGCTATATCCTACCTTGCAACCCTCGCAAGCTAAAACCCCATAGTGAACACCAGAAGACTTGTCCCCACACACCAGGCATTTCAAGTTGGTCTGGTTTGTCAGCTTCTGTTGAACAGTTCCTGAAACAGAGCAGAAATGTTCTGGTCATTTGTTACAAAATTGTAATAAATGAGGTCACACCCAACCTAACACCTTGCTTTAGAGTTTCTTCCAGGCATCTCTTTTTTTTTTTTTTGGTGGGGGAAAAAGAGTAGGGGGCTCTGACCCCCCCCCCAACGAAATGAAATTTATATAGAAAATATATACTTTTAACAGTGTCTTGGTTTCTGTTTTCTTTTTTTAAATGATGGTTGGTCCATACAATTTTCATACACTTTCGGCACAAAGGGATATCCCTCTCCCCCCCCCCTCCCCCACCAAAATTTACATGCTTTTTATATTTCTGTGTTAAAAAATAATACCACATAACATTTTCCGCTGCCCGCTACTATTCATCCTCTTGCAGTACAAAAAAAAATGACCCTCCACCCCGTCCCACTCACTACATGTGTAAAATAGTTTATGGAAGACCCCCTCAATGCAAATTGCAATAAATTCGTAAGAATAATAAAAATCGCATCAGGTTTAGGCTTAAGCAATAATGCAGTGGAATAGGCACAAACATAGGTTGCAACCGCGCTTGTAAATTATAATACAACAAGAAATGTATATAGAATATCTAGATCTAAACAAAACTGCTGCCATCTTGGGTACGCCCCTGTTTATGGTTGCGTATGTATGATTCATTGACAAAAAAGGTCAGTTTGACCTATTAAGGCTACGCTACAGGTGGTGTGTTAACTGTTATGGCGGGTATCAGAGAACTCAACGACCTGGGCATTTTGACCTTTTTTTAAAGGTCAGTTTAAATTCCAGACATATATCGACCACATAATTCGTTGATAGATCAGCAACACATACGCATTGGCCACCAGCATCATATTAGCTGATCGGTGGGTTAAATTACAAGTTCAATAAAAGACGTGTTGGCGTGAGTCAGCAATACAGATTGAATACACAAGCGTGTATGCAAACATCTTGCGCATATGCACGTACAAACAGAACCGAGATCTACACGCAACACTGGCTGTCTTTCGATCTGTTTCTATATCGGGTTACTGTAAAATATAAAACGAGTTCTAAAATAAAGGCAAGCGAAGAAGTGACACAAACCCAAGGTTTCATATAGGCCTAGATCTAGATCTACTTGTTAATTATTAATTTTATAGGCCACACCGATGACTACAGAAAAAGCAAACTTATTTAAATTTATCTTAGCTTTTTTTTAGGTGTAGTGTAAGCAAACTTAAACGCAGAAAAGTGATACTTGTTTTAGAATTATTTTTTAAAAGCGTTTAGGTGTAGAGTCTATTTTGAGCTAGATCAGTGGCGTAGCGAGGTCGGGTGTCACCCGGTGCGGCACTTAATGGTGTCACCCCCCCAGAGGCATAGAGACCCTTCCCAGGGACAAACTTTCAAATTTTCGATTTGCACCCCCCCCTCAAACTTTCGATTTGCACCCCCCCCCCTCAAGTTTTCGATTTGCACCCCCCCCTCAAACTTTCGATTTGCACCCCCCCCCTCGAGTTTTTCTCTATATATTTTGCTATTTTTTGCCTTGGTGTCACCCCCCTAAATGGTGTCACCCGGTGCGGTCCGCACCCCCCGCCCCCCCCCCACGCTACGCCCCTGAGCTAGATCTATATCTCTAAAATATCGCTCAGAACAGGAAAGCGGAAATATTTTCGCCACCTGCTTTTGAAAATCATCACGATCAAAATCATCTAATCTGGTGCAGCAATGATTGCAGTCCGTTGGCGATGCTGATAGGTTGGATTACAAGTAAGTTGAAAGTGACGTGGAGGGGCGGAGTTTGTGCCGAGTCTGAGTGGATGACCTAGATTCCCGCATACAACAAGAATAGGCCTACTACCAACAAATGGAGCTGACTCGGGCTTTTAAAAAAAACTAGGATCAATAATAAATAATGTAGCGCTTGTGGGCAGGCCGCAGAAATCGGACAATTAATTTACATCTAACGTCGACATTTAATTTGAGTAATAAGTTTTCCGATAAAAAAATAATGGTTGTGATACAATTCAACGAACGCCTACGCTTTATTTTTTTTTCTTCTTAACGTAAATCAAAGATAGGACAATGTAACTAGTTTAATTTAAGAAGCAATCATAGCTCAGTTTGTATTGTTATTTTTTATGTTTCCACCAAAGTTGGTATCGTCTGGTAATTTGTCGTCGTCGACGCCCCCTTTCCTCCCAAGTAGAATGACGTTTTATAAACATTTGAAAAGTTTCCAAGGAGATGCACTGGATATTTTAGTCTAGTGTACTGTTACACAGTGGCAGAGGCGTAGCTTGGGGAGAACGAGTGGGGAGGCCGCTCCGGGTGCCGATCCTATGGGGGGGGGGCGCCAAATTAGGTAGAAAAATAAAATAAAAAGCTTATTCTGAGCTGCATTTCTTAATTATACTCATTAGAAGTAAACAAAATAAACTGCTACTTGGCTTTAAGGGCTTTTAAAGCTGTTTTCTAAATCAAAACATACGCAGGTTTTTGCGGTAGTGGGGGCGGCAGATATCAAAAGTAGGGGATATATAAGTGATACTATTTAATACAGTTCTGTATAATATTTAGTTGTATATTTCCAATGTTATTGTATTAAAGAATATACTTTAACTATGATATATAAAATAGATGTTTGCTTTATGTATGCGTATTATTGTCGCTTGTGACCATAAAAGTATTTTTAAAATATATACTATACATTTAAACTTTGATACAAGTTTACAGAAACTGATTATTACATTCTTAAAAATGTTTGTATTACAATATGTAGGCGAGATTACATATCTCCTTTTCAACAGTAATTTTAAAAATAATTTCCAAAGAGCGTCAGTTTATTTTCAATGGGCTCATTTATTTCCTTAGACAGCTCGGGGGCCCTGTGACTTAAGGGGCCCCGTGGACTTAGTCCACCTTGGTTACATAATTGTTAAGGCACTGGTTACACCGAACGCACGTTCCGACGAACGAACGGACGCCGCCGCGACTGCAGAATTGTCTCACGTAACGAAGCAGGCCAGAGAAAAAAATAGCGTACGCCCCAGATGACCTTTAACAAAATGGGAGCAATAAAGAATTGGGGGAATGTTGAAAAAAAACAACAACAGTTAAACTACCATTCGGTGTTGCTCTACTTGATTTTATTTCATCTTTCTAGAATTCAGTAGGCTATTTATGGTGCTTAGCGCATCAGCAGTGTTGGGATGTGACTGTATATTCCATTGTCTCTTGTGCTTTATTTGTCACAATCACATGAACAGTAAATAAATTAATTGAAATTTGTATTTTATTTTATCAGCTAGGCTTTTAGCTATTCATTTTTTTTTTTGTTTTTTTTTAGTGGCTAAAAGTTGCTTTTGTGTGTGTGTGTGTGTGGTGTGTGTGTGTGTGTGGTGCCTATATTCGTGAAATAGGCTACGTGTTTTCGTTGTAGCGTTGGTCGTTCAAAAATCTTTTTCAATGCATTTTGGTGACGTTTTTATCCCCTAACCCACAAACCACCTTTTTAAAATGTTGTATTTGTAATCTTTAAATTACTTTTTTTAACCAATTTAATATTTAAGTAATTATATTGGAATGTATACAATAATGCTAATGCTATGTCATTAAAAATAATGACCTCTTATGTATAAATGAAATAGCTCCATTAAAAAATAAGGAAAAATTACCACACACACTCGTTAATCAACACAAAAAGGCGTACATTTGTTTGTACTTAAAAATTACAAAAAGGAGACACGTTTAGTCGTGCGACAGCCGCCGGCTACCAACCCTGTTTTTACATCAAGCATAATTCCACTCAGAAACATGATCTCTGCATTTTATACTTTATTGTTACAAGCCACACCCCGATGAGGTCAGACGTTACGGTCAGCAGTCATATTGAAGCAGCTGCATTAAATGTTTGAAATAAGCCCTACATTTATGCTTGAAAAAATTGCGGTTAAAAAACTCGAACCCATATTTTTTTTAATTAAACAAAGATTAGGTCTAGCTACCATTGGTAGCCTTTAGTGTCTGCATAATTCTTTATACAATCTGTATCAATCTAGACATATGTCATGCTCAACTTTAAATCAACATCGAGACAATTAAAAAAAAATTCATTTCTTTTCTAAAACCTAAAAAAAAAAAAAAAAAAAAAAAACCCCACTCTAATTCCGCCATTTTGTTGCCCTAATTCCTAGACGCCCCTTTGCCAACGTGGTTCTTGGATGTACTGTTAGTGGGACACTTCTCGTTTACTCACGAATTAGGGCCCGATTTGACAAAGCTTGTAAAGTTGTTAATACAACTTGTACATTAAAATTAAACACACACACATTATATATATATATATATATATATATATATATATATATATATATATATATATATATATATATATATATATATTATATATATGCATATATATATATGCACACATATCAATTTTTTTATTTATTTACATAGATTCTACTAGTAGGCTAACACGCTAGCTTATAATTTTTTTCTACTGCAAAATTTGTAATCCTGTGTTACTGTTATACATAGCCCTACATCAATGAATGTGTACAAACTAAATCTTGGCCTACATGTTATGGAAATAAAATCGACTGAACGAAATAAGGCGACCTTGTCGTAGCCAGAATTACATTACCGCCTTATTTCTTCGATACAGAATGAGGCAGGGGATCAAATTTAGCAGGCCATAACTGAACCGGTTGACAGTACCAGCCCAAGATAAATGGCAGCCAAGTTAGTACGAAACTAGGCCAGAAATAGGCGGGCCTAAGAGTTCCATTTTTAACCTGCGCATTCTTATCTAAGACGTGCACGTAATCATTTATTACATCTAATAATTTACAAACATTTCACGTTTATTTAAAGTTTGTAGGTCCGTTTTTAAATGTAGCACAGAGTGTGTTTTTAAAAAAGTGGGAAAATAAACCAGACAAAAAAAAACTGCGGATACCACTCCTTCGTCTGATTCAAACCGACTTAATTCAGAGATTTTTTAAAAAGTGGGTTATCGGGTCACGGCAAGCAGTATTGCACAATTACCGTAAAACTCCGTGCTGGTTGCGCCATTTTCGCCGTCTGCTAAACATACAGGCTCGGAGAGAGACGGTGATACCCCGACCTAGATAACAACGCCACGGTAAATATTGCATTTGGTTTGAAAACCTGAGCATTAAAAATGCAGTATACTGACAAGCGAAATTTTTTTTGATGGGTTTGGAAAGTGACCGTGGCCGGTGTCTGGTAGATTTGCCGGGACCGGCTGATCGATGTAGCCCTCAATAAACCCAGTCGCTAGCAGCAAATTCACAAAGTTGACCTATTTCTTCCCGTCTAATTTTAGTAACACACCAAGGGTGGAATTTAAGGATGTACTTAAAAAAAAAGAATTTTAGAAAGGAAAATATATAAAGTAACAACAGAGTTAGCTCGAAATTTTAAATGGCTGAAACAAAACCTTTTTAAATTTCTTATTTTTTAAAATAATGTTGTAATTGGAATAATATATAGATCTATATATATATATATATATATATATATATATATATATATATATATATATATATATATATAATAAATTTAATATAAACTGTGCAGATATTTCAGTACAGAAATGTCGTTCGTGTCAAATGAAATCTAAAAACAAACGGAGTAGGTTGTGCACAGCTGCTGTGCTACGATGATGTGTAATGTCAGGCGATGATTTAAAAAGGGCAAAAAAAAAGTCTAGGCCTATAACGTAGTGTACTTGTGCTGCATGCTGGGTAGTGTGGGAGTATGGGGAATAATAGCGGTCAACAGCAAGGGCTGAACACATTCTTGGAAAAACTGGGAAACTAGGCCATGTGATGGCCACTTGTACCGTTTATGAAATTAGTGTTCCGTGACTTACGAGTAAAATGGCCTCTCGGCAGTACGTTGCATCTGTGCAGCTTTAAAAACCCACGCAATTAATTATTTATGCCTAGCATTAGCAGTTCGGTTGTATTTGTTTGTAGACTATCTAGATTTTTTTCCTCGAAGAACATTTTTTAGTCTTAAAATTACGAAACCCTTTATTTACGTAAGAACCGACTATGACAAACATTTAGCAATGCTCAACAACAATTAATTGGTAAAACGGTGGCAACAGATATGGATAATTTTCAGAGGCGTAGCGACCCTTCCCGGCGCCCGGGGACAAACTTTTCGATTTGCACCCCTCCTCAAGATTTCGATTTGCACCCCCCCTCGAGATTTCGATTTGCACCCCCCCCCCCCCACCCTCGAGATTTCGATTTGCACCCCCCCCCCCAACTTTTGATTTGAACCCCCTCGAGATTTCGATTTGCACCCCGCCCCCTAAGGTCGGCGCCCGGGGACATATGTCCCACCCCCCCCCCCTCGCTACGGTACTGATAATTTTTACTGTAAAGATATATTTATTATTTCTTGGTTAATATTTTCTATCAAGACAAAGTAGGTGTAAAATTTAATTATTGCATGCTATTTAAAAATACCTTTTGGAGATACAAATCATAAATGTTTAGAAACACATTCCCCCCCCCCTAATAAAATGCTGTGTTAGTCCTAACCAAAACATGATGGGATTTGCCCTACTTTTTAACTGGACAACATACCTGGACTTGAGGCCCCTGAACTGCCCACCAAGGTTGCAGGGAGGCCACTCCCATCTCCCTGGGAATCTATCAACTCCCTTTTTCTGGCTTGGTCATCATCATAAGAGTTATCTGACTTCCACTGGGCTGAAAGCATCCAATACCAAAATAAAGTTACAGAAGTTACTTATTAAGAAAACAAGAGCTAGGTTAATATTAGTTAAACAGTTAAAGTATTTTCCTTGACATGTGGTAAAAAAAACTCAGGCGCTACCTTCTTCTAGTGTGGCGTAGGTATTGTACTCAGCAGGCGGCAGGTGCCTATCTCCTGTCATGTGATGTCTGTCAGAAGATGGCTGGTGCCTGTCAGAGGAGGCTGACTCGCTTGAGATTACAACTACAGAGTAGAAGGATTATCAGTCAAATAAACCGGAACCAATTTCATTAGAATGATATTCTTTAATGATCAATGTATTCTTTGTGATACTTTTTGTTGTTTTACTTAATTAAAGCTGATTATGATATTTCAAGAATAATTCATTTAATGAACATTATGACAACAACAAGTACAGTACACCAAAATTATATTGTAAAGCTATAAACATATTGAAAGAATGTTTTAATTCAATGAACAACCATACAAACACATGAAGAGTACACCAAAATTATATTGTAAAGCTATAAACATATTCAAAGAATGATTCATTCAATGAATTACAAACACATGAAGAGTACACCAAAATTATATTGTAAAGCTATAAACATATTCAAAGAATGATTCATTCAATGAACACCATACAAACACATGTACAGTACACCAAAATTATATTGTTAAGCTATAAACATATTCAAAGAATGATTCATTCAATGAATTACAAACACATGAAGAGTACACCAAAATTATATTGTAAAGCTATAAACATTCAAAGAATGATTCATTCAATGAATTACAAACACATGAAGAGTACACCAAAATTATATTGTAAAGCTATAAATATATAGAAAGAATGATTCATTCAATGAAAAACCATACAAACACATGAAGAGTACATCAAAATTTGTTATGCTGAAGAGAAATGAAAGCAACAAACCTGGAAGAGGAGACGGGGACTGGAGATGTGTGGGAATTAACTTTTCCACATTCTCAGATTTGATCCACATTGAGCCGTCATTGTTTTCTTTGATCATTTGCCAAGACAGTCCTAACATTGAAACAGTAATTGTAGCTCTCAATAGTTTACCAACATCTAAATTAGCTAACATGACTTAACGCAAGGGAATTAAAGAAGTTAAATTTTCATGTTTTTATATCCACCCCCTCAACCTAAAATGATATTCTTTATTCTATTTAATACCTTACATTTTTATAATCATTTAGTAGATATATTTGAAATCAGTGGCGTAGCCAGGAATTGGTCATGGGAGGGGTTAAAAAATGTTTCCATACGTATATAATCCTATATATATATATATATATATATATATGACTACCGGTATATATATACATATATATATGACTATATATATATAGGGGTCGGGGTCCATGGGAGGAGTTATACCCCCCCCCCCTAACCCAACCCTTGCCTACGCCACTGTTTGAAATGAAATAAGAAAGAAATAATTACTTTGCTCTGTGATTTCACTTCCCATAGTGGCATCCAAAGGTATGGAGTTTTCCATTTCTTGATAACTGGACCCACTGGAAGATGCCAGACGGTCATCAGAAGATTCTCTCCTGTTCTCTTGCCTGTCAAAATCCTTAGCTGACTGGAGAACAGACTGGCGCACCAGGTACTGAACTGGCGGAGATTCTGCCAGCGAAGTCTGCCGGGACAAAGACAGCTGTTGTGCCAGGGACTGTGGACGGTTTGGTGCCCGGTCCCACATTTCTGTTTCCGAGGAAATCCGGCCAGGCATGACCAGATCCGTTGCCCTTTGATCTGTCAGTGAAGAGGTGGAGCCACTAGAAAGTCTTGAGCCCCTTCTGCCTTTGCCTTGTTGAGTGGAGGGAGAGAGAGCAGGTGGAGGGGAGAAAACTCTCTGGTGGGAGTGTAGCATTGAAGCCGGAGACTCTCTTTGCTCAGAACGAGGATGGGAGTGTAGCATTGAAGCCGGAGACTCTCTTTGCTCAGAACGAGGATGGGAGTGTAACATTGGAGCTGGAGACTCTCTTTGCTCAGAACGAGCATGGGAGTGTAACATTGAAGCTGGAGACTCTCTTTGCTCAACTCTAGAATGGGAGTGTAACATTGAAGCTGGAGACTCTCTTTGCTCAGAACGAGGATGGGAGTGTAGCATTGAAGCCGGAGACTCTCTTTGCTCAACTCTAGAATGGGAGTGCATCATTGAAGCCGGAGACTCTCTCTGTTCACTTCTGTGATGTGAAAGTAAAACTGAAGCTGAGGTTTCCCTCTGCTCTCCCCGAGAATGAGAGTGCATCACTGAAGCCGGAGATTCCCTCTGCTCATAACGTGGCTGTGAGTGCTGCATGGAAGCTGGGGACTCTCTCTGTTCAATGCTACTGGAACTACTGGCACTGCTGTTAGTGCGGCTCTGTACCCTGTGGGCGGTGGGAGGCTCCAGCCCATGGTGCAGCTCAGCAGGTGGACTGGACGGAGCCTCGGGTCCTGCCCTCACGTCCTTTAGCTGACCCGTGTCTGGTGGCCTGCTGGCTGGACGGTCCATTGGCTAGTCTTTCGACCATACTGTAAATTTGAGAAACAAACACAATTCATAAAACGACTTTTGATATAACCCATTTATCTTAGGTAAATCAGTTTTTAAAAACTTAAGTCGATAAAATTAATCTAATTCAGAATTTGAATGTCAGTTACTGGGCAATTATTTCATCTCTGTGACATAACTCCAACAACATCCAGTATCTCTGTCCTCCCATCCACCCCCACATTCTTAAACCCCAGCCAAGACGTGGTCGATAATCATAACAATTTTTTTTTATCGAGCACAAATAAGAGACAAGTACACATAAAAATGCCGAATCATCAGTATTAGACTTCACACAAGAAAAAAAAATGGAAGAAATATGTGCAGAAGGGTTTCCCATCTCCCACTGTTTAAATGTTTAAAACCATATCCCCATCCCCTACCATGTATGATGCACATCGTCATTTAAGCCCCCCCCCTCCCCTTTTCCATATGTATCTCAGTACCGAAATGATAATCTGGCAGACAAGATGGCGTAAAATTTAACGCATGTTCTACGTTAGGGTTAGAATTACGACAACTGCAGCAGTAAAAAAACATCATGCAGCCGGCGAGTCAAATGCAACAGAAGCAGATCGGCATTAGCTCAGAAAAGCACACTCGATGTAATCAGACACTGCAAAGATCTCTGGACAACTTAAGAGTTTTCTTCCAGTCAATGACTAGGCCTGCTAATAATGGGCACGTTTTCGGCAAGTTTAGAAACAATTTCATTCACTAAATGGAGATTTTGAAGAAATAAAAATTTGGGCAGGATACCCCCAAGAAACAGCGGTCGACGACTTAAGGAACCGCTAACTGCTCTTAAAGCTTCTCTTTTTAGATAGAATGTTACAATAAGAATTCTAAACAGTTGAGAAAAACTAAAAGTTTGGTTTCTACGGTTAAAAACAAACAAACAACCAAACATTTTAACTAACTTTCACTGAGGCCTTCTACATATTTTCAAGTACAAATAACTTAAAACATTTACAAATATTTTCAATAAACTATAACGACCAGAGTTTCTTCCAGGCATCTCTTCAGGGGGGGGGGGCTCCGTCCCGTCCCCCTTCCCCGAAGAAAGTCTACACCCCCCCCCCCTCCCGAACGAAATGGAATTTATATAGAAAACATATTTTTACCAGTGTCCGCCCCCCCCCCCCGGAGAAAAAAGTCTGGAAGAAACACTGTTAACAACCAATCCCAATGTGAAAAATTGAATCAAAACGATGTTAAAGTTTCATTTCAACAAACATATCGAACAAAATAGTTCATTACTCAGATTTGCATTGGTCATTACATGCGGGTCGTTCGTTCTGAATTATGAATAACTGTCTAAGTCAGCATATTCATTAATATTCCTTTGATGACTATAACAATAAGGTCCATCATATAATATGCTCTGCATAAAATAAAGCCCCATGTTGTCGTTGTTTTTTAGAGCACTATTTTATGATTTAAGACTAATTTGATATAAAAAATAAAGCGGGAGTGATCTCCCATAAACTTTCTCGAATATTCTTATATAACACTACGGGGGATGGCAACTCGGGATATAGACATGATTTTAATCCATTTTTAATTACTTAAACTTTTAAAAATAGAATAGAATGTCATAGAGAAAGAAAATTGCGCAACAAGTGAATGGCATACACTACCTGTATAATAGTGCGGAATGTTAGTACTTTATAAATTCATATTCGTTTTTTGAGAAATCGTAATCGTAAATTACTACTTTCGGTCAACGGAAGTTCGACAGAAGGCAGAGAATTAGATATTTTACTTATATATGAAATTTCGTTCATATATCTTAAACAGTTCTAAAGCTATAGGCTTTTGAAAAATCGAAAGTAGACTAAGTTCCACTTCCGTGATACAGAACTACAAATTTGATACAATACTGATATATGAAATCTCATCAACCTAGCTGTAACGGTACACAAGTTTTAGTGTTCACAGACACACACACACATGGACAGACTTGCTAAACCCAGTTTTTCCGACTTGATTACGCATAAAACGCCGAAACTTTGCTAAAACTGGATTTATAATTTTTGCCCGATTAAAAGAAGTCCCCAATACTCCGTGTATGATGAAGTACTGAGGTGTAAAACGGTGAAAACTATCAAAAATTCATGGGATTTTTGTGCACGATTACAATACTTTTACTATACTCTGTATACGAGAAAGTAACTAGACAAAAATATATCGAGTATTGAGTTCTGAAACTGAAAGTGGATTTGAGTCCCCAGATATTACGGTATTTCAACATAATTTATGCTCCATAAAATATCATAAACATTTCCGTGCACATTATACCACACACCCTATTTTTAAAATCTCACTTCCACATTCCTAAAATAACACGTTAACCAAATTTACGATGGAGTAGGTTACACGGTGAAACGATAAAAAAAAAATTAACAGATATTAATATCTTAACTTGTTCAAAGCCTGATTGTGACGTAACGTGTTCACACACACAAAAAAAACTGAAGTTTATTTACGTAAACACGCCCTGAACTCATGTGTCTTGACATCATCAAGTTATGAACTGGTGTGTCTTCGCAATAATGTGTCTTTACATGATCACAACAGCCATGAACGGGTTTGTCTTCACATGATCATACCATCCATACTGGACACCCTATATCACACCATCAGGACCGCCTTAGTGGACACCCTATATCACACCATCAGGACACCCTATATCACAACATCAGGACACCCTATATCACACCATCAGGACCGCTAGAGTGGACACCCTATATCACACCATCAGGACCGCCTTAGTGGACACCCTATATCACACCATCAGGACACCATATACCACACCATCAGGACACCCTATATCACACCATCAGGACACCCTATATCACACCATCAGGACACCCTATATCACACCATCAGGACCGCTAGAGTGGACACCCAATACCACACCATCAGGATCGCCATAGTGGACATCATATATCACACCATCAGGACACCCTATACCACACCATCAGGACACCCTATATCACACCATCAGGACACCCTATATCACACTATTAGGATCGCTATAGTGGACACCCTATACCACACCATCAGGACCGCTAGAGTGGACAGTCTGTATCAATAAGGACGAACGTTGAACCTCACGGTTAACCCAGCCATCGATTGCATAATCCGGCTCTTGCTTAATAAGTAAACATTTGTTACTGAGAAAACAATCTGAGAAGTATACATTTGTTTTATGTGCTTTCTACATTGTAAGGTTGCGTATAGCGGTATACACTAAAAGGAGATTTATTTCTAAATATAAGCGCGACTTAGATATTTTGGTAGACATAATTTATATGGTGGCCTAAATCTGTCGACGAAAATAAGCTTTTTCGTTAGATCTTTAGTGTCGGCCAATAGTATTAGATCGTTAATATCACCAAATATCCAGTCAATCGTTGGTATATATAACCCTACACAATTCGAGATATTACTGCTATCTTAATTAAAACAGACATAATAAAATGACATTGAAATCCAGTGTAGACATATATATAATTAAAAGTAACGGTCCCACTAGCAATAAAAGTAATTACACTGTTGTAAACTATTTCGTATATGCAGAGGCGTAGCGGGGGGGGGGGGGGGGGGGGGGGTGCGGACCGCACCGGGTGACACCATTTAGGGGGGTGACACCAAGGCAAAAAAATAGCAAAATATATAGAGAAAAACTTGAGGGGGGGGGGTGCAAATCGAAAGTTTGAGGGAGTGGGGGTTGCAAATCGAAAGTTTGAAAGTTTGTCACCGGGAAGGGTCGCTACGCCTCTGGGGGTGACACCATTAAGTGCCGCACCGGGTGACACCCGACCTCGCTAAGCCAATGCGTATATGTAAGAGGATGAATGCAAATTATACCAGTTAAAACAATTGAACAATTTTTAAACATAAGATTAAGAGGATGAATGCAAATTATAATAGTTAAAACAATTGAATAATTATTTAAACACATAATCTACCGAAACGGTCAAATAGAAGTTCATTTGTTTTAACAAGAAAAACTCGATACAGAATTCTTCGAAACCCCTTTTTGTTTCATGACTTTAAAATGTGACAACGCGCCTTTAATAACTTCCTATTTTTTTTAAAAATCCGATTAGAAACATGTGATGTAGGCCTACATGAATTCGGAAACCAAAATAGAAATTTACAAGTAGCACGGGACACCATTTTTTTGTGCTCAAATTTGTACAAGGAAGGGCGGGCGATGCCTCCGTATCGTGATACATTATAAAGCTGTATTGGCCAGATTTGTATGTTACTCTAAACCTGGCTGCCCCACGTGCTTCTAATCAGCCCAAATGTTTGATTAGTGAGCTACAGGCCGAAGTTAAGCTTGTATGTCCAACAGTTTTGCCATCCAGACCTGTTGTGTCTTATTCTGTTTAATCTCACCCAACAACCCCCACCCCTATCGTCACAAAAGGTCGACTCCCGTAATTTATATTTTTCTATTTAGGAAACACCACAACAATATTTTAATGGATCTGATGCATAAATTAGGTACCTTGAATAATTTAAAATAAATTGATCTATTTTTATAAAAGCGAAAAAAAAAACAGCTGCTAAAAATTCAGTTTTAAAAATTACTTGTTAAAAATGCAAGTGACAACACTTACAGCCAGAACTTCTTTCAGGCATTTCTAAACGAAGAACGCCGAAACGCGCCCACCCCCACCCCCCAATAGAAATTATATATAAAATATTATTTTACCAGTGTCCCCCCCCCCCTGCGAAAAAAATTCTGAAAGAAACACCGCTGTACCTTCGTCACACGTCGATACACAGTTTGTCCCTCTTCTCATCGAGTATGGACGATTTCTAAAAATAATGGACGGAATTTAACTAATCGAAGTTTCTCAAACTCGTAAGCTCAAATAAGCCTGCGGGGGAGGGGGTGTTAAGAAATGATTTCCATTAATATATGTGTAATTATACGTTTTTAAGAATGTAAATTAATGTG